TTTTTACAATGGAAATAGCAAGACTAAGTTGCCCTGAGAAGACCCAAAATGAGTGATTCACCTGCTCCCTCCTCTGCTTGGTTCCATGTGGCTGGATTGGTTGATGATAAGCCTGGGGTTTCTGTCCTCTGTACCTGAAGGTTTCATTTTTACCTGAACTATGTAGTTACCTCTTAAAATACTGTAATGACTAGCTGATGGATAAATGTTTGCCTAGTTTTTGTACAGTGTGGACATAAGAGGAAAGTAATATACAATCAGCCCTCCATATCCGAGGGAAAATATTCAAAAACTTTTGTCTGTACTGAGCATGTACAGACTTTGTCATTGTTCTCTGAACAATAGTTTAGCAACTATGTATATACATAGCATTTATGTTGTATTAGGAAATATAAGTAACCTAGAGATAAAAGTATATTGGATGATGTGTACAGGTTATATGCAGATACTGTGCTACTTTATATAGCACAGACCTGAGCCTCTGAGGATTATGGTGTCCTTGAATGGTTTTGTCACCAATCTACCATGGATACTGAGGAACAAGTATATTGAGAAGTTTACCAAATTGATTCTACAATGAGACACAGGAGCCTGTACCTTTGGGTTGTTGTTGTTGTTTTTGGAATAGAAAATGTGAGCAGGAGCTTATTTTAAAAGGTGACCCCAAAAAATTCAAATTAGGACTAAAACACATCACTTTGGAGAGGTGTATCCATTTTGTGTATGGTCTCAATTCAGACATAACCAATTTCACTTCTGTTTCTAATCATTGATTTTCATAAAAAACAGCTGTAAATAGCCACTTCCGAATTCTGGCTCATGAGAAGTTTTTCATTAAACACAATAGACTGAAACAAAAATGAAATAGACTTCATAAGACAGCAGAAAACAAAGGAAATGGGTTTTAGTTTCCATTGGAAAACTAACACCAGATCCGAGTTATAGGGCATGGCTGTGACCATCCAAGTCACCTCCAAACAGTCATAAGCCAGAGCCAAGGCTGGAGTGACCATTTAATGAGCATGAAAAGGGCAAAAAGATGTGCTTTTTGGTTTCCTTTCAAAATAGTTTCTGAAACAGGATCCCCTTTTCTCATCAGGAAATATATACAGCTTTGTAGTAAGATGACTTTGGTTGTATTTTGTGGAGAATGGCAGAAATCTTGTGCTAAGCTGCACGTTGTATTTCTGCTGGTCTGAAATGTGTCGAATCATATAGATTAAATGAACCCCTGGAAAGATGTCAGGGTGGAAAGCTCCAGGTGAAAAGCTCCTGCCAAGCTTATGGGTTTGACATGAGGAGCCCCAAAAGGTGGCCTCCCAGCTCTTGTGCCTCATCAGGGACAAGTTATCACCAGATCCAGAAAGGAAAGGAATAGAACAGGAGACTAGAACGACGAGGACTTAGTTTCCCTTTGGGGGCCTGATGGTATCTTGCTTTCTTGGGTTCACTAGGTTTTCATGGGGGTGGGGGTGGGGGCTCCTGGATGAATTTGGAGATTAGTTTAACTTTATTTACCCCTAAATTTCAGAATACATCAGAAACTACTAACAGTGACTTTTAAAGCAAATTTGGGGGTAGTGATTTGATTGATTGGAGGATAAGCCCGGCCTGGGCTGTTTATAAAGCACCTCAGGGGCTTTTGAGTACAACCAAGGTTGTGACTTACTGATTTAAAGTGACAAATGAGGCACCAAAAGGGCATTGCTTCCCTATCACCACCTCCCACAGTGAGGCCCTGATTTGTTTTTCTGATATGAAAAACATCCCTTCACTATATTCAAGGTCAGGGCATAAGGGAATATATTATTTTATTTAATATCAACCTCAGACAACCTGAATTCTACCTGGAAATTCGAGACGGGTCCTCATGTATGTCTCCTGGTTAGGGTAATAGATACATGACCACAGAATGTCTGTTTAACCACTGGCCTCTGCTACCAGAAATCCAAAGGGCAAATACTGGACATTAATATTTTTTTCCCTTAATAAGAAGGCAAGCCTATTCTGGTAAAAAATTTTATGCCTAAGTAAAGGCTTTTCAGTTTTTGGTTTTTTTTTTTTTTTTTTTGACTCTGTTATTCTCATTTTTCTGCCTTACCCTTTTGCTGTGTATCTCACCATCTCCCTTATTGCCAGGACATCTATATCATTGCATCCTTGTAACTGCCCCTTTCTCAATGGACTCTTTGGAAAAGATCCTGTGGCATCACTCTTTGGCAGTGGTCAGGGAGTGAGGAGGAATGATTGACCATTTCTAGAGCTTTGGAGCCAGATCCTGACCTGGGGTCTCCGACAGAGATGTTGAGAAGCATGCTCAGAGCTGGGTTGCCTTTCATGGAAGCACTCTAGGACTTTGCATTATTCTCCAAGACTCAGAGTTCTCTAAATAGACCATGTCCTTAGCTTTGTTTCTATTTTCAGTCTCAGGACCTCCTGGGGTGACAAGTTCTATGCTTTGAATGTTTACTTTTTAAATACTGTGTCTTCAATTCCTAGTGAAATTAACAGTTAAAAATTCAAAGGGGGTGATCATTTGTGTTGGTATTTCCCAGGAACTTGAGGCTTAATGACTACTGTGTACTGTTTAAATTTGCCTCTCCAGCTTCTTGAAATCTGTGGCCTGAATCCTCATGCTTCTCTTTCCCCAAACTTGCATAACTCCTGAGGGAAAGTGGAGGTCTTTTCTTCTCCCTAGGATGCTGACCCAAATCAAGTTGTGGCCGGTCTTGTGTGGTGGTGACCTTTTCCCCAACAACCACTGAGGATCTGGTTTGGGTCCTCATTTACAGGTTCTAAAAATATTCATTCTTGGAGGCAATAACTT